TTGGTTAAGCGCCTGGCACAAGACTGATAAGTCCTAGGTTCGAATCTCGTGAGGCGGGATCGTGGGTACGCACTGTTGAGGAGTCCCATATTAGGATGAAACGGCCAGCTGTTCAGTGCTTCCAGGTTTTCCATGGTGGTCTAGCTTCAATTGACTCATGGTTTCAATCAGTGAAATTACATTAATGTAGTGCTGAATGATGATCATTAAATCATTTCATTCATTAGTTTGATTGCTGAATGGTCTTTGAGAAATGCTCCAATGCTCTTGGAATGTCTACCTACTTACCAGGGTTAAATGAAGGTTATGGATTAGTGTGAATGAATTAGAATTAGGATTTATAATTGAACGACGTTAAAGTTAATAATTAGATTTGATGTTTTCATTATGAATATAGGGGTTGTGGGGATTGTTGAGTTTTGATTGAGATCATGAACCGATTGATGTTAGACCACCATTAGAAACCTGGAAGCACTGGACGGCCGTTTCGTCCCATTGTGGGATTCCTCAGCAGTGCGCATTCACGATCTCGCTCGCGAGATTCGAACCTAGGACCTATTGATCTCGCGCGTGAGCACTTAACCACCAGATCACTGAGCCAGCTGGTATTCAACGGTGTTAATTTCTAATTTCTAATTGGTTGATTAGTTTCAGTATTGAACTATGAACTATTACTGCACTCAAGGTAGTAAATATTTAATTGTATAAATTAATTCACATTGATTAAATTAAAGTCGGTCACGAAAAAAACAACATAAAAATTAAGCTATTAAGTTTAGTGAATGGTCTTTGAGGTCAAAACAGTATGTGGTCCAACGTAAACACTGAATATGAACCAATGAATAATGTTAAAGTTAGATTAGTATTTGCTTAGCAAAAGCTAAAATGTAATTATAAGAAGGTCATTGCAATAGTTGAGATCATGAGTCAGTTATAGCCAGACCACCATGGAAAACCTGGAAGCACTGGTTGACCGTTTCGTCCTATTTTAGGGCTCCTCACTAGTGCGCAACCACGATCCCGCCTTGCGAGATTCGAGCCCAGGATCTATCAGTCTCGCACATGAGTGCTTAACCTCTTGATCGTATGTTAATCAAGCAAAAGAATATATAAGCAATTATCCTTTCAGTTTTTAGCAAACATATAACGTGAGACAAACTATGATAGTTTTAGATAGTGACTTACAATGAAATCCAAAACAGTAATCTCTTATTATTGAGAATTTATCACCTGGAAGTAATTGGACCTCATTCTTGAAGAGCCTGAAACAGGACCGGATATACCTCCTGGAGTTCACTACCGGAGGATTCGTAGTATTTGCTAAAAAAACATGGACGTCAACAAAGACTGATTAAAGTCAGTTCTAAATAACAAATAACATGCTCTTCAGAATAATAATAGAAAAGAAAACGTAAATTATTGTAGATTATTGATACTTCACTAGTGTTAAAAGGATGTTAGACTTCAAGAATTCTTTGTATTATAACCCACTGAATACAAATGAAGTCTATAGGGCCTTTTGTGCACACCAACTTGAAATTATAGTCTATGCCGCATGAATCTCATATCATATGTAGAAACGAACAACAAGGATCTATTAAAACTAACTAATCACCAAGTAGGTACCAATCTGATCCTTCTTACTAATCCCTACTAAGTAACTAGCTTAAAATCTATGTATGGATTTTCCTGTCAGTCAATTTCAACAACCTAGTATCTCATCATAGTCCACACGATGCTGAATCATTTAGACTAGTGGACACATTGCAGTTTAATCTATTGAATTCGATCAATACTGAAATTATTAGGGAAATATTACACAGGTCATTAAGCAGCGACCAAGCAACTTTGGATTATCTCAGTAATATAGGAGGTCGGTCGCGACCCAAATAGCTCACTGTCAATTTGGAGTGCTAAATATCAAGTAACATATATCCAGCATTTGCTGTTAACTAACTTTAACCACTCAGCAGATTTATTTGCAGTTTACTTTATTAAAGCACCATATCCACCTTTACGACTCCTCGTTTAGCTACAATAATCAACAAGTTTAAATAAGATTATTGTGAAAATGATAATAATTAGCATAATTCAACGATATTTTAGGATACATATCAATACGACTAATAGTATAACCTTAATACTACTACTAGCAATGTGGTAGTAGTAGTAGTAGTAACGTTGCTAAGTTACTGATTTGGCACACTGTGCACACTGTATGAGATCAAAGTGAATTTCATTTCATAGTTTGCAATAAAATATTCTATTCATTGATTAAATCTGGTTTTTTTCGATTGTATTGATCATCCAATATTTAGTTACATACATATTTACATATTACTAATTAATAAATGAATGATTTTAATAGTTGAAATCACGAGTCAATTGAAGCTACATCACCATGGAAAACCTGGAAGCACTGGACGGCCGTTCCGTCCAAGTACTGAACTCCTCAGCAATGCGCATCCACTTTCGTGGATTAGTTGAAGTTAGACATTAATACCGTTGGATGCCGGGTGGCTCAGCGGTCTAGAGGTTAAGGGTTCGCCCTCGAGATTGGTGAATCTTGGGTTCGAATCCCACGGTGCGGGATCGTGGATGCTCACTTCTGAGGAGTCCCACAATAGGATGAGGTGGCCGTTCAGTGCTTCCAGGTTTTCTATGGTGATTTAGCTTCAATTGACTCATGATTTCAACTATTAAAACTACTACAATCTCTACAAAACCCCTTCTGATAAGAATTGAGTAATAAATCGAAATAAAATATGTAAATCACTAATTTTATTGACTTTACTCCCCAGAGTTTATGTATATGAAGTGATTTAATTGTGAATATGAGTCTTATTGGATAGTGAATATATATCAATATTCAATCAAACAAAGTGTTTTATTAAATATTAGCTGATCTCCTGCTATATGAACATCTATGACATCATGTTTTGGTTGTTGTTGTATTTTACTACCCTAAACATTCAGTAGTAATTTGCATAATACATAAGTTCAATTCAATTTGGAAACATGCATTTCCTTAAATTTACATATATGTCATAATGAATGATTATGATTAATGTTTATGTTAGTGAAGGAATCATTTATGTAATTTAGTAAATCAGTTATATTTGTTAGTTGTAGCACATATAATCTTACTAGCTTTGTTGTATACCCTAAGTAACTAAATAATCAACAATAAGTTTTAGCTGGTTGATTGTTTTTTTTTATATAAGATTAACTATCATTTACACAGATCAACAAGACTATGTTTTTGGATCATGTGAAAGAGTACTATTGAGGAGTGCTCAAATCAAAACGTGGCATCAGTTCATAAAGTCACTAACTTCTAGTTTAAGCCGTGTTGGTAGATGCAGATTACTTGGTTTGGGTCTGTGTGACTATGGTAATCGATGGTTGGAGACTCTGGATGACATGGTTCAGAATCAATCACAATGGAGTCGATATATACTCTCTTTGTCTTCTTTTAAACCATGAGAACAAAATTAATTCATACATTTATTTCTACGAACTAATTCTTTCTCCGTGTATTATATCCATATACACAATCTTTCTTTTACATATTACTACCAGTGAAGTAACTGCTTTTATGAATTCGGTGTTTATCTTGTTGTGTTAATGAGGTATGGCAACTTGGACCGATGCATATGTGTCTGGTCCTGCGTTGCAGCCGACTGGCTGAAGAGTGCTCAATCAAGACGAAACAGCTGATCAGTGTTTCTTAATTTTTGGCAAGTTATCTGACTGAAGTCAAATTGTGATGCAAACTATGCTTATAAAGTGGTTAAGATTATTTGCAGTTCAGGTAGGAATATTTTAGAGGCGTTGTGTTATCCAGAATGTAAAGTCAGAAATAACGATCATTCAGATTCCATGTCAGTAGGAGAAATTCTATTAGTTCATATCTCTATAAAGTATCTAATGATGACGTTTTCTAGAAGGACAATGAAAGCTTCACGACTAAGTCATATATATATATAGCTCTTTGGTAAAATGTGGAAACCAGACATTAAATAACTCATTTGAAAATATTTCATCAATTGTCCTTCACATTCTGTATGATTCTTCCGATTCACAATTCCTTTCTATTTCCTTTTCTGTTTTCTTCAACTCCATTTTCTTAGCATTCTGCTGCCAAGTTTTCCACTTCTGATTGGTGTTACATATTACTTATGTCGACAAACATAAGTAGCATACATCACAATACTATTCATCTAGGTCTATAGATTATTAATTGTAAGATGGCTGTCATATTTCTTAATGAACAGTATTTTCCAATTCAGATTGGCTAAAATCAGCTTCGGGAGATTTTTTCACGAAAGCCTATAAATAGTCGTCCAGATCGGTAGTATTGAATTTCTGAGTTAATTAAACCTAGATTACCATGGAAAACCTAGAAGCACTGGACGGCCATTTCTTCCTATTGTGAGACGATACAGTAGTGCGCGCCCAAAATCTCGCACGGTAGGATTCGAACCCAGGACCACGAAGCCAGCCGGTATTCAACGGCGTTAATTTCTACCTTCAACTAATCCACAAAATTGAGCCACCGCCCATTATTGTCTTCTGTGAGTAACTACTACACAGCGGACATGGTCGAAATCCACTTGTCACCGCTTCTTACTAGGATTCCATGAAATACCTCTTGGATTCAGTCATTAGTGAGCACATGATGATCATTTTCAGGGTTTTGTGGATATTGTTGTAATTTTTAATAGTTGAATTCATGAGTTGATTAAAACAAGACAACTATGGAAAACCCAGATATGCACTGCTGAGGAGTATTGTACTAGGACGAAACACCCGTCCAGTGCTTCTAAGTTTTCCATGGTAGTCTAACTTTAATCGACCCATGAATTCAACTATGGACTTCTAATTTCATTTGATTTTTTTCTAATTATGATTAAGACAAATAGCGGATAACGAAACTAATTAAATTTTCAAATCATTTTGTTGTGTTATTCATTTTCCATTCTTTTGTTTTTCCAAAGATGGACTCATTTTTGGACGCATTTTTCGCTTTGGATACAGATAATCGTGAAGTGATATCATTGAATGACTTAAGTTCATATAATAAAAAACATGGCCTACAAGATAGTTTTCCAGAAGTAAGTATAAATGATGTTTTTACAGTTGGTAATTTCAATTCCTGTTATTATCTTGCGTAAAATTTAGAATTGTATGTACTACTTATTGTCATAATCAGTAGTTAGTTATTTCTGTATTTTATTAATCTTAGAATTAGATAACATAATTGTACTCCTCTGGTTACCATGTTCAGTACGAAGCAGTTACTTACCTATAAAATCAGGTTGTGAAACGTCGTATATCAATTAAAGTTAGATGTATAGACCGTTGAGTGGTGACTTGCTGATCTAAAGGCTAATTACTTACCGTAAAACCTGAAGGTCATGGCTTCGATCTTTAGTAGGATTCTGGATATGGATTGTTGGGAAGTCCTATACTAAAGTAAAATATGTGTCCAGATCCTCTTGGTTTTCCATAGTTGTTTAACTATGATTATTGCGTGGTATTAATAATAAAATAAACTTATATAGTAAACTGAAAAAAGATTCTGAAAGTGTCTTGAAAGTCGTCGACGAAGACAAACTTTCAAATATACAGTGTTTTGTATTATCTTACACTTTCAGAAATTAACAGTAAGAGACACTAAAACCAAGGACACTATATTTAGTCAATTAACAGTAAAAATGCTGGAGAAGATTTGTAGCTCAGGTGGATGATTTTGATGGATTTTCGTTCTCTGAGCTGGATGGTTTGGTCGTGGAGCTTTCATCGTTCTTCTGAACGACATTATCATCAACAGTAAAAATGCATTATCTTTCAAGTATTTTTTGATAAATATTTCAAACCAGATTGGCTTGGTTTATATGAGATGAGATGGAGCACGTAATAGTCTCTGTCAATTTTATTGATAAGCGAGCAGTATCATTTGATAAGTGAATATTCATTTACTCACACCCGTAATGTTAGGGCCAATGATTTTGCCTGATTATCAATACTTCTATAAATGAAGTACTTCAGAAATCACAATCCAGTACTAACTTACAGACGAACAAAGTAGTACCAATAGATGTAGAATGCAACAGAGTATTTTTCAGTAGTGTTGTATACTATGGATTGAATGGTTTTATTATCGTTCTGAAAGACATTATTGGTGCCCTATTATATGATATCTATCATTTTGAATATATGTATAATTAAACTTCTCATACAAAATTTTTCAGACATTTCTTCGTCGGTTTGATGCTGAGAAAACTGGTGTTATAACATTAGAACAATATTGTAAAGCATTAGGTCTTGTTCCAAAACAAGCGTAAGTTTTTTTTAAAACAAAGCAAATAAATTGTTGTATATTAAACTGGATTTGGTTGATTTGGTATTCCTCGCTGTATAGAAAGCAAATTATCATCATCATCATCATCATCATCATCATCTTCTTCTTCTTATTCTTCTTCTTCTTCTCCTTCTTCATCGTCATCATCATCATCATCATCATCATTCATGATCTTAATTTTATGAGGTATTACGAAACTTAGTCCTAACCACTGCAATCTTTGTTATTTTATATCACTCATGTTGATTTCTCGTTATTCAAATGTAGGAATAATAATAAAATCAAATGACTATAACGTGCACTTAAATGCATAAAATAGAAGATGCATTTCAAAATTTTGTTTTGAGGGAACTTCGATCCATACTGCTTTCTAGAAGTATATTCTAGAATTGACTCCTTATCTTTGTTTCCAGCCAACTCACATGTGTTACATCCATTCAAGTAAATTATAATTGATCAGTATAATTAATGTTACTAAATAATCGTTTATCTGTATGGGATTGTGAAGATTTTTAAGTTTTTGATTGAGATCATGAATCGATGGATGTTAGACGACCACTGAAAACCTGGAAACACTGGACGGCCGTTTCATCCTAGTATAGGAATCCTCAGTGTTGGTGATCTAAAATCTATCGATTCATGATCTCAATCAAATACTGGTTTATTATCTAGGCTATTGTAAAATTAATAAAGATTAAAACTATGAATAGCATGTAGAGTATATCAATTTTTCCGAGGCATCAATGAATTTAATATAATAGAAATATTCTTCATTAAAGTTAGATTGTGCTGTATGCTACTTATGTCGACAGACATAATGCATGATCTATAATGTATGTGAAAACTACAGAAGCATCACACCACTGTCAGTACCAGGAAAGGTTTTCAACAGAGTGTTGCTGAACCTGATGAAAGATGCAGTAGACTCCCAACTTCGAGATCAACAAGCTGGATTCCGTAAGGATCGATCGTGCACAGACCAAATTGCAACACTACGGATCATCATCGAACAATCAGTTGGGTGGAACACATCACTATACATCAACTTCATTGATTATGAAAAGGCATTTGACTGTGTGGATAGGAGGACATTATGGAAACTTCTTCGACACTATGGAGTTCCTGAGAAGATTGTCAATATTATCCGGAACTCATACGACGGACTACAATGCAAAGTCGTGCATGGAGGACAGCTGACAGATGCATCCCAAGTAAGGACCGGAGTCAGACAAGGCTGTCTACTCCCTCCCTTCCTCTTTCTTCTGGTGGTCGACTGGATTATGAGGACCTCGACATCTGAGGGAAAACACGGCATACAATGGACAGCTCAGAACCAATTAGACGATTCGGACTTCGCAGATCACCTAGCCTTCCTATTGCATACACATGAACAAATGCAGATAAAGACAACTAGTGTAGCAGCAGTCTCTGCATCAGTAGGCCTCAACATACACAAGTGAAAAACCAAGGTCCTCAAATACAACACGGAGATCAGCAATCCAATCACACTTGTTGGCAAAAGTCTGGAAGATATAGGATCCTTCAATTACCAGATAATGATCACCGATGAACAAAGAGGAACAGATGCAGACATGAAAGTGAGGATTGGCAAAGCAAGGGCTGCATTCCTACAATTGAAGAACATATGGAACTCAAAACAACTTTCAACCAATATCAAAGGGAGAATCTTCAATACAAACGTCAAGGCGGTTTTACAGTATGGAGCTTAAACCTGGAGAACTACTACAACCATCATCATGAAGATACAAGTATTTATAAATAGTTGTCTACGCAAGATACTCAACATCCATTGGCCGGATACCATTAGTCACAGTCTTTTATGGAAGAGAAAAAATCATCATCCAACTGAAGAGGAAATTAGGAAAACACGATGGAGGTGGGTAGAAAATATATTATGGAAATCATCAAACTGCATCACGAAGCAAGCGCTAACTTATAATTCTGAAGGGAAACAAAAAAGGAAGAAAACCAAGAAACACATTGCATCGGGCATTGGAATCAAATATCAAAAAGAGGAATAGCAACTGGAAACAATTGGAAAGGATTGTCAAGGACAGAGTTAAGGGGAGAATGCTGATGAGCGGCCTATGCTCCTCTACGAGGAGTAACAGACATAAGTAAAGTTAGTAAGTAGATAATTAGAAACCACGATGCATATTTCATTGTATTTATAACTTGTCAGTAGAATATGCCTACATTTTAATGCTTATAAGCATTTAAAAAAACACATTATTAACTAAATTATTCAATTCAGAATATCACTTCTTTGTGTGAAGGACACGAAGGCATTTGGATTTCATCGCTCATCGTATATAAAGAAACGTTTAGTTTTTAAGTTTATCTTTCTACCATTGATCAATTTTTTTATTTTTACTATTATCTCCCCCCCCCAAAAAAAGGCGCGAGATACGAAGACGACGTACAACAGTATTATTAGAACAATTAATGCCACGTGATTTAGAAACGATATACGATGATATGGATTTAGAAATGAAAGTTAAAGTTATGGAATTATTTATTGATGATCTACGTGAATCTGGTCGTAAAACAAATATTGATATGGAGAAATTAGATCAAGCTATGCAACGTTTAAAAGAATATTTTGATACACGTTATGGTAAATCATGGCATATTATAACATCGGTTAATCAACATTTGGGAAGATTTAGTTATGAACCAAATACATTATTTCATTTTTGTTTAGGTAGATTCGCTGTATTAATATGGAAAACACCATGTTCTGCCTAATTTATTCTCATAATGATTGAATGATTAAAAACTATTTTAAAATAAACCAGTTAAAAAGACCCTATTAACAATAATATTCAATTTGTTCTTTTATTCACTTTTTTGAAATTTAAATGTTACTACTTTAAATTATATGAGTAGTTTCTTGTAATATTGAATTATTTTCTCCCCTAATTCTGTATGTATTCTAAAAACTTCTGATATAATTTTATTTCAAAGGCAATTAGGCTTTCTTTTATAACTATGCATATACATGTATTACCTTTGTGAAGTTGAAATATGTTACACTGAGATAAATTAATCAAACGTAAGACAAGTGCACATGCAGGTACTACTACTACTACTACTACTACTACTACTACTACTACTAATAATAATAATAATAATAATAATAATAATAATAATAATATTAATATTAATAATAATAATAATAATAACATTTACATTTTGAGTGCGATACACTTTTTCATTCTCCAGTTTATAGCTCTAATTGGACTAGGGGGAAGAAAAAATAAAATAATTACTATGTGCTCACTAGTGATTAGCTTCGTGAAGGAATTCTCGGAGTTCTAGTGAGAAACAGTGACCGGTTAACCTAATCCGTGTCGGGTAGAGACAGGTATCTACCTCAGCACAATGGAAGATGGTCGCGCAATTTCGTGGATTGGTTGATGTTAGACACAAACACCATTGGATGCCGGCTCAAAATAGGACGAAACGGCCCGTCTAATGCTTCCAGGTTTCCAACGCTGGTCTAACATCAATCGGTTCATGATCTAAATTAAAATCTGATTAATCTCCAAAACTCCTATAATGATAAAAATAAGATGGTTGTTCTAAGTTATATTTGTGTTCAGAGAGGAGTTTTGTGGATATTATAGCAGTTTTAGTAGATGAATTCATGAATCAATTGAAGCTAGACCACCATGAGGAACCTGGAAGCACTGGGAGGCCGTTTTGTCCCATCGTGAGACTCCTCAGCAGGGCTCATCCACGACATCGAACCTAGGACATATCAGTCTCAAGTGCGAGCGCTTAACCACTAGATCACTGTTAAGGCATCCAACGGTGTTAATGTCCAACTTCAAATAATCCACGAAATTACGCCACCATCCACTATTGTCATCTGTGAGTTACTATCTCACCACAGACCTGGTTGAACGCCACTGTTCACGGTGTCTCACTAGAACTCTAGGAAATACCTATTAAAGACCGTTACTAGTTATTTCTTTATTTATTCATTTGTTCAGTATCTTATTAATATTATAGTTTATGGTGTGTATCATTTTTTAAATCTTTCAGAGGATCAATAAACTGTTAAGTGAGTCGTTCGATTATTTTGAGCAACGTAGAGTATATGATCTAGCAAACTGAATAAGTAATTAAGCGGTTGATTATAAAGTTAGATATGTTTAAAAAAATGCATAGATTTTACAAGATCCTCCTTTGAATAGTTCAATGAACACTAGGTTAAAACACGTATTACAATTGATCTTTTCACCAAGTATATCATCGAATATGTAATCATCCAATTATTAAGCTTGATTTGTATAGTCTACTTTGTCTGTAACATGTTTCGTGCAACAGAGGCTGAGATTTTTCCTGACACTAGTACCGATGATTAGAACTCCCATTCTGTACCTTTACAAATGATGATTCTTAGCATTTTAGTGATCATCCTGAAACATCCTATCATTTATTAGGACCCTATACAATCTTTCTTGCAATCTCTATACTTCGGACTTGATATGTTTCTTCTGAATACAATAAATATTAGTTTATTTAAACTGCCTTAAGGTAAAATGCATTCTCTTAAATTCCAAAACGACCTATCGAATTTTCATAGGGGCTGTTATTAATTCTATATTGGTAGTCCACACTATCGCTTCCTAATGTATATACTGAATGCATCTTTTCATATATAAAACTAGTGATTCAAGTCATAGGCCAACTAACATACCACTTGGGTTGTAGTGTAGTGTCGACTACTACATAACTTATTCTAGCTTCTGGACAGGCCAATTCATTCATTCATTCATCCTTCTTAAATCATATTTTGACCTTGTCACTTATTCGCTTATCAAACCTGACCGTTTTTATATGAGCGTATGTGTGTGTACATCTTATCTCATTTATCACATGTCCGTTACTTATATTTGTGTGACGATCAATATCGATTAACGCTTGATTAAATCAAGTTGGCTCACACGTATTCACGGCGCATCGTTTCGTTTCGCTTCGTTAAATTGATTGTCTGCCTGGATCAATGATTGTACAAAATACACGAGTTAAGTCCTCTGATCTGTCTTGGTCTTCTCACGTTTTATCGTTATCGAAGAAGGTTTTCCGTCTGACCTATTACATAAAGAGATTGCATGCTCTTGGAATTACTCGTCATTTACTCTTACAATTTGTCAATTCTTGCATACTACCTATTATTCTTTACTGTTCTCCATTATTCTTTCCCGGGCTTTTGAGAAAAGACTTTGCTGTATTGCGAAGAGTGCTGAAGGCAGTTAGCAAGATGTGTGGTGAATCTTTCGAGGTCATAATTAATATGGTTGTGGATAGACATTTAAAATCATGCAAACTCCTGGAAGGTGTCATTTTATCAGATACTAGCCATCCCCTTCACTCTTATCTTTCTCCTTGTATATCTTCTGGTAGAACGAGACGTAATTACATTAAAATCCCTGCACGCAAGGAAAAGTACAAATGTTCTATAATACCTTATCTAGCAAATATACTCTGTGACGAACAGGTTGTTAGAGTTAATCTAGCCAATAACCTGCATTCTTAACATGACTTTAATTTTAAATGTTGCACAGTTTTTCAGATTCTTTTTTAAACTTTTTTTTTTCTTTGTTACTATTTTTGTTTGCATAAGTAACTTGTTGAAATACCCTGTGCTGAGAATTCTATATTGTACCAAAATATAATATTGAATAAAGCCATTAATAATAATAATAATAATTATTATTATTATTATATACGAGGATGGCCAAAATGTATATTTCGACAACAACCATTCATATGATCTATTTGGAATAAGATATTGGGCCACAAAAGTGGTGTGCCCGTCGACAACGTCGTCCGATCAAATTGACGTCAAAATGAAAGGCCACTAAGGGAGTATACTATTTTGTTTTCAAATGAAGCACTTGAAAAAGGATGAATTATATAAAAGCTCTTACTTCTGGCGGTGACCATATATCAACCATTGAATAAACTCACCATCTTAAAACTTGCTTCCGTGTCAATGCTTGATAGAGCTCCCTTTATAAACTACACTATCTATCAAAGCTACGAAAAGACAAACATATAACCATGTTGTAGGACAGTGCAGTAATGATATAACCTTGGAGCTGTTGTCTTTTACTATAAATTGCACAATTTCTCCTGACAGCATTATCGGTAGTAAGTTTTATCATTCTGAGAGTTCTATTCAATAAAGAGAACCTCTGTACTGTGGATCATCTAGTAATCTACCTTACTCATCGTCTTAAACACAATGGTGGTGTTTCTTCAATAGCAACGACAAATAAACACGTTATCAAATTTCAGCCCTCGTTCCTCTTTATCCGTTTATTTTAAATATGACTGAAAGCAAAATAATGTGGTAGACAATACAAGTTACCCTTTACACAATTATTAAACGACCACATTTGTTAAAGGATATGTTACGGTTAATAAATCCCTGAAATAAATAGTTCTGTAAGTCTTCCACATTAGTGCTGACCTCACTAGTTTTACTGGATACACCCTAACTAGTGGCGCTAGGTCACGCATCCTAATCAGATCACAACCAAGTACTCAGGGCAACGCATTCCTCACGACAACTAATCGGCTGAGATTATATACTTCTCGACGCATTGACCGTCTTACAAACATATCTTCAAACATCTTAATTTCTGACTTCTGATTTGGATGGGTTTGAGATTATCTATTATAAAGGTGTCACAGATAACATCGTTCTCAAGCCCTGTATATCCATGACATCTTAAGACAACAAGTTGTTGTCAAGTTATCAACTATTGACTAAAGCTACCAAAATATTTTCCCCTCAAGAGATGTTTTATGGAGTAAATCATTTTACCAAACAAGAAGCAAGACTCGTTGACATAATAAATGGATACGATTTTTTAAAATAGCATATTCACAAGGGAGTAAGATTAACCGCGATTCTGACTGCCCAAACTAAAAGTAACCTTTTGGCTTTGTTCTTGTCAAACAACCACAGCAAATTTAGAAGGAGGTGGTATTTTTCAAATCTTCGTATTTTGTTTTACCTGTAACTAAAGCTATCAAGTGCGTTTTAAATAAAAACATTCTAACAGAAGTTTTTCTTACAAACATTTTAGTTATTAACAAAAATAGTTACTTTTAGATAATCTAACTCTCGTTTTTCGTATACGGGTACTGTCTTTTTAAGTTTCATAACCTTTTCGTTTGTGTAAATCTATCGATAAAAGAGGCTGATGTAACTCATCAGAGTAGTAGATTTAATTGTTGTTCCCAGCTTAAGGATCAGATGTAACTTAAACCTGTGGTATAATGTTACCTACAGTAAGCACAATACTGATGTCTTTAAGAAAAGCTAAAATTCCAAGTCACCTTAGTTGGACACAGTGGGTTGCTCTGAAAATTTTAATTTGTGGTTAGAACTATAGAATTAGTGAAAACGAATTTTTAGCAAGGTAGTCTGTTTCACATAAAAGCTGTCGTTCTATAAAATTGGTATTAATCCATTACGTGTTGTATGCGAAGAAAGTCACATAATTGATAAATGTTCACGATTCTCTACATTAGTAGTCAATGATAGTGGAGCGAAGGCTGAAGAGAAAGTCTTATGTTTTTCTTGTCTTCGAAGAAGCCACAGATCAGTGGGTTGTAAAATACATCTCATGTGTAACATCGAAGGTTGTTAGGATCGGCATCACCCACTGGTGAATAACAAAGCGCCTCAGCGTTGCACGAGAGTTCTGGGAACAGTTGATGAAGCACGGACCCGAAGTATAAACGTTCCAGTTACCATCGTTTCAATATGTTAATAAATGTGGAGTATGCTATTTGTTAATAGAATGTATAATATTTTCCATAGTCTTGTAGTGACTCACTTTTATCACGAGAACACGATTGGTTTATTGAAAACAATTATTATTATAACCAATTGTACCAGTGACTGTTTTAATGTGCTTTTGTTTAACTGTGCTAAAAAGCATCCATTATTCACACACTTTGATTGTGACTTCGCGCGAATTCGGTTGCGTTCTGTAACCAAGCTTGTATCCTGGCACGATCTCGGTATCCTTTCGATACCACGAGATCGCCAGCAAATATATCTCGACTTGGTCCATTAACTGCCTTCTG